AGAAAACAAGACATTCCAAAAGAAGTCAAAATAGATGGTTGCAAAATTCAGCTGCTTTGTAACATCTTCTATAAGTTTTAACTATTTGTCTATTTTATTTTTAAAATGATGAGAAGCAGCAATCAGAAAAGGAAGACCACCCCAAAGTGGCAGATGACAAAAATCAAACAATAAATAGTAATTTGAGTAATCTAATAATGATCCAGCAATCATTCTGTGCACGCGCAACAATCTTACATACCTCAACAGTACCTTCAGGGCACCACGGCATTATATGTGGGGTGAGTCATTAATATATAATGGAACTATAAATTATATCTGAAGGTATAATTCCAATTATTATATTCTGTTTAAGAGGGCAGAGAGGGGTACAATACTCTTTAAATACTTATACATAATAATAATGTGTCTACGAGATGCAGGACATTGGGGGATGAGGTGGAAAAATAGGCCAGACATTTCTTTCTCTACGACCTATTATGGGGCCAATAGTAAAGACAGTGCATATTTATATTATAACAGCATAAGGTGAAATGCCATAAAATGATACAGATACAGTTATGGGACTATACAGGAGAGAATAAATCATCATTCGCTGATGGGATCAAGTGCCCTTCTGTAAGAAACGGCACAAGAATTGGGCTTGAAGAGACAGGGCCTGCAAAGCTGGAGTGAGAGGAGCAAAGCACTGAGTAGCATTGTGCAGAGCTTTCTGTGAGGACAGAAATGGAAACGTTCAATGCAGCAGCCACTAGCCACATGTGGCTCCTGAGTAGTTGAAATGTGGTTAATGTGACTGAGGGCTGAATTAAAGAGAAAATTATTTCATTTTAATTATTTTAGATGTAAGCAGCCATATGTGGATAATGGGCAGCACAGGTAGAATATGTATAATTTCCATCATTTAAAAAAGCTCTGGTGGTTTGGTAAAGTGATTTATTTAATCTCTATGTATGTCCAGGTTGGATTATTTATATATCTCAGACAAATGTTTATTTTCTTCTCAAAGCTATTACAGACACATCCCAGTACAATATGTTAATTTATTCCACTGCTGGCTGGGCCAGATACCACAAACTTTCATGTACTTCATCTTGGGTATTAGCCAGTCTGTGGCAGAACTGGAAATATGGCCCCCCCAATTTTATAACTCCCTCCTACTCCCTTAACACTCATGGTTGAGCCACACAATGACAGGAACCCAGGTCCCCAAGTCACTTCTTGGAGGACAGCAGCCGAGGACAGTTGTTCACACTGGACTGTGTTTTGAGCAAGAAATGCACTTTGATTGTTGTGTATTAATTACTTTGACTAAAACTGCCCTGCATTTGGGGGTTGTCTGTTAGGGCAGTTTTAGTCAAAGTAATTAACACGACTCAGTTTTCTTTCTGTAGTATCTTACTTTTCGCCATTAGCGAGTCCTTTATATCAAATACCATTTTTTCCTCTTAAAACCCATTTGCTACCATTTTGGTTGTGATCAATATGGAACATAACTAGCCAGGAGCATTAGTTAATTATGATTCCTTTATCTCAGTAATGACTCATGTTAAAACACTTATCTGAATTAAATCATCTCAATTTATTTGATTTTTCCTGAAAATACCTAATTATCAATTCTTCAGTTGTCACATCAGAGTGGCTTGTAATAATACCCTTCTTAGTTATAGATCCAGAAATTAATTTAAAGCTCAAGTATGTTGAGTAAAATTAGAAAATGTTTGAAGCCTTTTGTAGGCAAGTTAAAAGTTGAGATTCCCTATTGCTGCTTTGACAAAAGAAACTAGTCTAAGAAGAATTTTCTATTTTGAATTTGTTCAGGGGGAATTCATAATATTTACTGCTGTTCTCTCCTAGAGGAGAAAATAAATTCTCCAACCACATACATTGGTTGGTATTTATCAAAAAGTTTATATAAGCATCAACAAAGCTGTGAGACGATATGCTTTATTATCCAAACAATTCTCTGCAGTGTGATGACAACTATTCATAGGTGGTCAGCACTTAGAACTTTCTCCTCTTTTAAATTTTCAAAAGGTATGACTAAATTTTCTTGTTAAGGCATCCCATCAATTCTTGAGTCCTACAGTATTTCCTACTAAAAGCTGTTTTCCCTTCATAATAATTTCAGCCAACTAGCATTGTCAACAACTACAAGAATTCTAAAATATCCGAATACAAGGAGGCAAGCAACTACTTGAAAAGCAGAGTAGCCTTCCAAGCCCTGAGAGTAGACACATGTCAGAAACACAAGAGCCCAAGCTTGTGTCTATGTGATTAAAAAATTAAATGAAGCAAAACTTATCCCTCCTTCATTACCTAGAAATTTGTAATTCAGACATTAAAAATAAATTCTAAAGGTTGCTCTTTCAAACAACCCAAAAACAAGCTTTTCAAAAATGAGTAGAAAACTACTGTTGATATAAAATATAAATATTTTTTAATGAGTGTCCTTTAAAACATGAGGTATAAACTATTAGGGATTATTAATAGTCATTTATATATTTGTCTCTTTTGACAAAACAGCATATATTTTATTAGACTCAAGGACTTTTTAGAGCAAAAAGTTAACCGAAAATATTTGAATAACTGCTGCTATCTTAATCAACTTCCATGAATTCATGTAAATGATGCAGGACCCAATACTTAAAAGCAGATGAAGTTCACCAGGAGGTTGTTCCGAAGTTAAATTCTACGAATCTGATAAGCTGAACACTGTTGTTCATTTGCAGGGAGGATCAGTGACATGCTGAATTTCGGGAGTTCAATTTTGCAAAGAGAACCAAGTTATTTTTTGGTTGTAACTCCAAATTTTAAAAGTGCCTATCATTTTTATTTTTTTCACTCTAATTAAATCCAGATATAATCCTTTCAATGTCACTAACTTTGAGGCAGCAAATTACCCTTAATGTCTATATATATTATTTTACCCTCAACACTATCTGTTAGAGAAAATGAGCAGAAGTATTTAGCCTGCTGAGATATAGAGCAAAACCCAGTTCAAAGCAACTACAGTGAGACATTAATTTTATCAACCAATTATTTCTGTGGAGTGTTTTAAATATAAAGTTTCTCTCCTCTACCTCTTTATATTAATGAATTTAACAAAACAATAAGATATATAATATTTCTATTTTGTAAATATAGGCAGGATTTTAAATATAAATTTTAAATAGAAGGAAAAAGAAACATGGAAAAAAAAAAAGAAGAGAGATGAGAAGCTGGCATTAACAAGGCATCTTATAAAATCACTTTGAGGTAGGTATTGTTTCTCCTCATTGTACAAATGAGGAAGTTAAGGCTCAGAGCAGTAAGCTTGTCCAGGATCACAAACCTGGTAAATGGTACATGTAGAATTTGAACTCAAGTATTTCTCACTCCAGAGTTTATGCTCTTTTGCCGTTAAACTATTTCACCCGTATAAATCAAAAGCATGGTCGGAATTGTTAGGGAAAAAAGTATATTATGTAATCATCTCAACTCTATTTTATGGTTCCAGATGATGACTCTCTTACGGTTTTTACATTTTTAATCCTTGCTTTCTATGTGCCTTAATCCCACTGCTGTTGTGACATCTTTTTATTTCTCTTGTTCTGTTTTCCTCTACTTTCCTAGTTTTTCGAGTACACAAAATATGTTTTAAATTGATAGTATTACTAGGAGCTTGACACTTGAACTTGACTTAAATGACAGATAATTCTCAAACTTATAAAAAATTAATGATTTAAGAAATTTAAGTTCCGCTCAATGAGACTCCCTAAATGTATCCTAAAAATTCCACTGGCATTGATTTTTATAAAAATCGACAATAAGACATGCTGTGTACAAGCAGAGGCAACTCCATTGTTTGCTTCCCAGCAACAGCTATTTATACTTCACCGTGTACCATGTATTTCGACCTAGGAGTTTTCCCTACCCATACCCAAAAGTAGTTCAACTACAGCAAGTCTAACTCTTGTTTCTTCTTATCATTTGAAAGAAGCTCAAATTGCTACTTAGGCCAATTAACACTATATTTACTCTCTGGGTCTCTATAAGACAAGCAAGAGCAAAAGTGGGGAGGCAAGGGGGTGGCTGATGGCAGCAGCTGAAAGCAGAGAGGCTGAAAAATTGGATTATTGTGGGGGTTTTTTTGCCTCCCAAAGATGACAAGGAAACCAATTTTCAAATTAAACAAGCATTGAGATGAGTGACTCTCATGTCTCAAATTCAGGAAAACTTATTCTCTGTAGAATAAGTTTTTCTTAAACACTGAATTTCTTAAACACTGGCTACAGTAAGGCACGCTGTGTACCAGTCTTGCCATGCTTCTGTAGCCAGGACAGAGGACAGCAATGCCCACAAGTTTAGCTATTTCCTTAAATCAATCAGTGAGGTACCTATGCAGTGTTTACTAACAATAATAATCAACAGTATTTATTCTCAAGCTTATTCTTTGCTTGCTTTGCTACAAAACAAAACGGAGCTATGCAATGTGCTTTTTAAAACAAAAACGATGCAAATGTGTATTACAACCAATTAACCTATCATTGTAGGATTTAAGAAAGAGCTAGCTACTTTCCTGGTTTTAAACAATAAAAATCATAAGCATCTTAATTGAAAAATGAATTTTTCTGGAATTATGCATTTGGACCTAAAAGAAGCAGTGTTCTCACCAACACTAAAAAGGAAATGGCCTCTCTGAAAAGAGAGAAGAAAAAAAAAGGAGTAAAATACATAAAATTAACCTGGGAAGATTTTACTGAAATGAGGACTGACTGCGTAAATCTTCTTACTGTATTAATTATTGCAAAAGCCCTACAGTTAGTTCCATCAGCTAATGAATCTTTAGTCACAGCTACCCAGAACAGCATCAAGCTTTCATTTCAAAGAACTTAGAACGTGTAAGGTACATGAGTGAACAGAGAGAGCAGACACACGGCATGGTAACAGACAGACACGCTCAGCTGACTGACCAGAATATGAATTTGGCAGTTTTGCCCCTGTCCAGACAGACTGACCTTCCTTGAGACTTTTCTGGTTGCTCCCCTCAAGGCATTCCTTTTCTTTTAATGGTTCAAAATCCCCAGCAGTTAAAATCTCTGGGAAGCCCTGTTGCTGCTTCTTGGAGCTATCGATCATGGTGAGAGGCTTCCGAAGACAGGCAGCATCAAGCAGGAGAAAAGCTTAATTTGCAGAAGAGCGAAGCGCAGTGCTCAGAACACTCTGGTCCCTGGGTCCCTGGTTGCTCCCCACAATACCCCAATCGCTGGGCAATTATGTCTTTAAGCAGCTGAAGGCAGCCATTACCCTTTAGTTCCCAGCTTGACCTGCAAATACACTCATGCTGCTGGAAGCCCTTAACTCTCTCCCACATCGGGAGGCAGAGCTACACAGGCACGATTCTAAAATCCCACCCCTTTTCCCAGCCAGCCCACTTTCCCTTGCCATTCCAGCTTCCCCCGCGCTGGGGACTTCAATCTGCAGTTTGATGGTCCGAATCATCTGACAAACACTGAGTCAAGCAGTTAAAAATAAATCGTCTAGTTGTTAAAAGAGAAGACTTTGCTGATACCTAAGAAGACAAATTGCTGCCTGTGGTCTCTCTCCCGCTCTCTATAAACACAGCTACAGGCTGTGGAAATACTTTATATTGGCGAGACAAGCACATTTATTACTCATTAAGTTCTCCAGCTACACAAACGGCATTCTAGGGCATCTGAAGGAAGCGGCTCTTAGCAGAGGCACACACTGAATAAACATGCTACCAGCATATATGAATGAAGACAAGTCATTTCACTACCAAAGTTCTTTTGTGATGTGCTTTGTGCTGCGTGTGGCTCTTCCTGGCAAAGCCGACGCTCTTTGTAATAGGGAAATGTACTGTAATTGCAGCTTTCTTCCTCTGGTAATTCAGACCCGAGCAGTTTTCCTTGGTGCCACTAGTCGGCTGAGAGAGTTAACATCGCCATGATTTTTTTTTTTTTTTTTTAAGAAAAATTATCCTCCCATGCATTAAAAGCAGTGACACTGAGAGCTTCTATTTCATAACAGAGTAAACCAACGACCAGACCAAGTTTAATTTTACATGAGCTATCAAGGATGGGCACCTCTCCTGCAAGTCACAGGCTGCTGATCACTGCATACAGGGATACTGCAGGAAGGAAATCTCTAGATGCAGAAATTCTAGGCAAATGTGGAGATAAGCCTGTTTCCAAATACTCCAGATACAGATCTCTGTAGCCAAAATAATCTGATTTTTTTAAATGGTTCAAAGTGTGTTCCTTTGCAAAGGAGTTCCCATAAAACCCAACAGAGGTTAGAAGAGCAGTAGACTACAAATACAGTTTCATGAGGATCTATTTTGTCCACTTTAAAAAAAAAACAAAAAAACTTCTAGCAGAGTGCTTGGAATATTAAGTGCGCTCAATAAACATTTGTAGCATGGTTGAGTGAATGAAGTGAAGCAGAAGACGGTGTATCAGGAAAACTTCCTTTAATAATACCCAGAATTCTGAAGATGTCCTGGCTCAATAACAGCCACTAATTTTAGATGAGCAACTAAGTAAGTTCTCTAAAGGAAACACCTTTTCTCTTTAAAAGAAAATATACAGATACATTTTAATTGTGCAGCTGATGAGATCCTGCTGAGGGATAAAGAAAGGCATACATTGTTACAGCCAGAAAAATCAATATTCTTTCCACCAATTAAACACAGGTGGGACTGGATGAAGTATTCTGTTCACTGTCCCTGGTTACAAGGCTGGTGTGCACTAAACCCATATTCTTCTTGAAAGATTGCTATCTATCCTTTTTCAACATCTCACATGACATGCTTCTTGTCAACTGAAATTCCTTCTGAGGCAAGTTAAGTCCACCCTTGGTAGTCCACACCACTGCAGGAACAGTGACCAGCTTATCACACTCTCAAAAATGCCCTCAAACGTTCTGTTACTATCTCTGACCCTACGGCTTGTATTCTTCTAAACAAGCTACTCCTGCACGTTTCAAGGAGTAATAAAAATAACCATCATTCTTTGAGGACGTTCTTCAGGTTGGTCATTTAAATAGACGTTTTGCAAGGTTTACCGAATTTAACTACCCACAACCCCTATGGTGGCTATGATTATTTGTGTATGTTATAGACATTTTACACACCAAGACTCAAGTTACAAAGCTTCTCAGTGGCAGGTATGGAATTTAACCAAAGTCTTAGTTCTCCAAAGCCCAAGTCTTACTATGGCCTTGCCTTGCGTTCCGTCTTCTAGAATATGCCCCAACTCCAGGCTTTAGTTTCATCTTGAGACAGACTTAGCAGCAGAAGCCATGACTTTTATGATCCTCTAGTATTTCTACTCTTGGTGAGAGGAAAGAAAGTCAACATAATCATACTAAAATGATTTTATAAAAACATTTTAACTTCTCATGAAATAATAACAGCAGCCAACCTTATTTAGTGCTTACTATATGCTATAGACTAACTGCTTTATATTTATTATCTCATTTATTCTACAGCAAGACTTGTGACTTTAGCATTATTTTCCTGATGTTCACATGGGAAAATGGAGGCTTAAAAAACATCAGGCCAGGCGACATTTTGGGAGGCCAAGGTAGGTGAATCACTTGAGGCCAGGAGTTTGAGACCAGCCTGGCCAACATGGCAAAACCCTGTCTCTACTAAAGATACAAAAATTAGCCTGGCATGGTAGCATGTGCCTGTAATCCAGCTGTGCAGGAGGCTGAGTTGGGACAGTCGCTTGAGGCTGGGAGGCAGAGGTTACAGTGAGCCGAGATTATGTCACTGCACTCCAGCTTGGGTGCAGACTCCATCTCAAAAAAAAAAATAAAATAAAATAAAAAATAAAAAAAAATCAAACACTTTGTCAGACTTGGCATATCTTCTAAGTGGTGGCCAGGATTCCAAAGCAGGCAGCTTGGCTCCAGGGCCTACATGCTTAATTATACTGCAAAAAGAACAACAAAAACAATAAACTCCAACTTTTTTTTTTTCTGCTTCAGAATGTTGTTTTTAAATCTTGAAAAATGCCCAACTGTTTTTAGGTCACAAGTCTATAAATCTGAGCACACACACAATTACACCAGCCACTTTAAAATTATTTACCGTATCTCTGTGTGTGTGTGTGTGTATCTTCAGCATGTGTTGAATGTGTTTTTAAAAAGTTTATCTTTTAAGAAACCTCTGCATGCTTATTTGTATATCTAATAACTATCAAAATCCCAACAAGAAAACACATTATTCTGCTTAGAGTTATATCGAAAGTTGTGGCTTTGCAGTTCTGAAAGAAAGTTCTCTAGTGGTGAATGCACCTGAAAGAATATTTAGCTATTTAAAATTTTTTTGAAATAATTTCAAATTTACAGAGTAATTCCCCCAGAATCATCTCTGAATAGGTTCTAACATGATACTTCTTACCTTAAGTGCTCTGGTGTATAATTCCTATAAACAAAGATATTCTCCTACAGAACCAAAATATAATAATAATCATCAATATCAAGATGATACTGATGATTACTTAGATGGTATAGAGATATCAAATTAACACTGATAGGAAAAAAACAGATAAAAAGAAGAAACAAATTAACACTGATATATTTGCATTCAAGTTCCACCAATAGCCCCAACAATATCCTGCATACTAAAAGGATCTAAACCAGCATCACATAAGGCACTGAGTTCTTGAGTTATCAAGTCTCTAGTTCTTGTCCATCTTGAACAATTCCCTCAGTTTTTCTTATCTTTCCTTGAATTTTGATTACTATAGGTCTCTTATTTTAGAAGGATAGAAGTCTTATCCTCAATTTGAGTCTGTCTGCTGTGTCCTTATGATTAGGCTCAGGTGATGCATTTTCAACAGGAATACCCCAAAACAATAATGCAGTCTTTGTATCCTATCAGATGGTTCACAAATTCAAGTATATTCAGTAGTTGTCTCAAAACTGGTGATGCTTATTTTGACACCTTGGTACTGGCCAGATTTCTCCATGGTGAAGTTATTCTTTTTATATATATTTATTCTGTGGGGAGGTGCTTTGAGAACAATCCTTTGGTTAACTTGGCTGAATTATCACTATGATGGTTGCCAAATGGTGAATTTGAAAACTCCATCATTACCTCTATACTTATTAGTGGCGTATCGCACTATAAGAAAAAAAATTCTCTTTACGTGGTCTAAGTTACCTATTAATAGTCTCCTATTTCATGTAACAGCTTATAATCTGTGACTTCCATTATTTATCATGATGCCCAAATTGTCACATATTTGGCTAGTGGGAACTCCCACAGTTTCTTATTGTCATGATTCTATCATTCCTTGAGCAGTTTCTTACTTTCTTACTTCCTGGCACGGGATGCCCCAGGCTCCTCCTGTACTTTTTCCTGCCTTCTTTAGAACCTAAGGTCTGAATGCTAGGTATGCTCCTTGCTCCAAGGGTGTCACTGCTGCCAGGCCTTCTCTGCAGACAGAGCTGTGGAACATGTCTGAGTTTATATGTGTGTGGATGTATACACATACATCTGCATACATTTATAACTCTATATGTGAATGGATAAAAATATACATCTATATTTAAGTACATATATCTGTATTTATTTATATGTATTGAAAACCATGAGTTCATCACAATGCCTCCAATTCTATTCCAGTGCCACAGGTTCACTCTCATTTTCTTTTCTGTATTTGTGTGGCCCCTTCTCCTACTGGGAGAAACTTGTCTCCCATGGCTTCTGCCACCCCAGTCATGGACACCTGTATACAACACCCCTGCCACTGCTGTGGCTAAAACTGTGCAGAAAACCTCTTCACCCTACACTGGTCTGCCTCCCCAAATCTCACAGGGCAGCTGCCTGGCTCAGCCCCACACAATGCCTTTTGGGATGCATTAGGGAGACAGGGAGAGACCTGCAGTATCCCTCAGTAGGAAAAGCCCCACCACTGTCACCTGAATTGCTTTCCAGTATGTTTGCCTTTGTTTCTTACTGTATGTGGTACATCACCTTGACTGTCATTTGGCTCTAACGTTACGAGTGACATTACCTTCAAATAATATGTGATGAACGTCACTTCTGCTATGATAAATCTGCTTCCACAGTGTTTGTGTGTATGCACACTCAACAGAGCTGTTTTAATATGAAAGAGATGACCATAAATCAAGTCCATTTTCCCACCACCCCAAGCAGATATTTAATAAGTATGAGAAAAACTGTATGGCTTAGAGACTAGGAATAATCCAAGAAAGTCTTCAGGGAATCAGAATACAAACAAATGCAGCTCAAGGGACTTACATAAAAACTTGGCAGAGTTAATATATGCTTATAAAACTACTGATAAAAAGAATACTGCTGTGATGATGCTGTACTTCACTATGAAAAAACCTGATAATATTTCCAACTGGGCAGTGTTTCACAATGTAAAACTATTCAAAAGTAATGAAAAAAGTAATTAGTAACAAATGCAAAGAGACTGGTAAATACTAAGGCATACTTTTCTGGTAGCATTCTTGACACAAAGGTTGAGTAAAGATAACCTTCTCTTTTCATCTTCTATGTCTCAGTACTTGGTAAAAGGTAGTCAGTAGCTATTTATTCAAGTGAATGATGGTAAACTTTGCGGCTTCCTTCACACAGGCTGAGCCAGAGTATCACAAAATCTACACAGATAATTAGTTTGGATGTATTTAGGGAAAAAAAAGTTCAGTCTAGAGTACACATAAATTTTTTTCCTAATACTACCATATTTTTAGTAAAATACATATTTGACCCATATTTTTCTCCCTTTCAATGTTATAAACACCCCTATAAAATACTATACCTTGAGATCATTACTAAATGGTTATGGTAAATCCCAACAGTTAATTTAAAATTTTTTTTTTTTTAAACAAAGGACAATTAAAAAGTGCTATCTCAAATCAGAACAACATGTCTTAAAAGTTCTTTACGGCTATGACTTTTAAAATATATATTGAAAAAGTCCTTTATTTTATCACTTTAAATATATATACTGAACATACACTACTTCAGATGTAAACAGATTAACAAATTAGCCCCTATGAAAACCACTGTTTCATAAGGAGGATACATTTTTCTGACCTTTCTGGGGTAATAAGATTTCCAAGGAAAGCATCCATGTTTCGCGGTAAGGTACTGCAGCATAACGGAACACCACAACAGGGCACAACAGCCTGATCATTGGTTTGTCATGTGTGCGTGTTGTACCTCACGCTGGA